TTCTTCGCTGGCCCCCACATCCCTCCAGGAGAGCAGAGGGCCCAAATAGGCCAGTGACAGGACAGGGAAAGAGAAGGCTGAGAGAGCAGAGTTCTCAAAAGGAGATATCATCTCCTGTGTGACATGGAAGCTCACCTTCTTCCTCTAATTTGGCTACATCATAGTAGTTACTGTCATCAAAGGCTAGGAGAGATGGAGGACTTGCTGGGTCCAGCCTCAGACCATATGAGATTATTCCAGGCAGGTGTCAAGCAGCCTTTGGACCTTGGTCTCCTGCCTCCTGGAAGCCTTCAAAAAGGCAGGGCTAGTGGGTAGGGATTTAACTCTGGCACTACACCTGCTTGCAAATGCAACATCTTGAGTTTTGGTTTTTTTGGTTTTTTTTTTTGGCACCAGGGATTGAACTAGGGACTCTTGCACTTTCAAAGCAGGTGGCAGAACCAGTGAGCTAAATTCCCAGCCCTGCAAGGTCCTGAGTTTGACCCCCCCAGTACCAAAAAAAAAAAAAAAAGGCAGAGCCTCTACTATCAGTGAAAGCCTTTTCAAGGACAGAAGGAAGTCACCCACAGATCCCTAGATGGTGTGTCCTCTCCTTAGAAGGATCAAAGCTGGGAATAGACAAGGTACCCTGTGACTCTTTAACCCCAGCCCAAAGGCTCTGTGCTTGTAGTTTCTGTGTACCTAGGGCTCCGGGCCATCACAAACATTCTGTTTCTACACCCTCAGAAGATGGTAGCCTCAGAGAAGGGAAACCAAGGCCTAACACACAAATTAAGTTGTTCAAGGTCATACAGCCTAAGATGTCTGGCCCAGCTGGAATTTGAACCCAGGCCCCCTGAGGCTGTACCCTTAGCACCTTAATCTCATAGATAAACAGTCTCCCAAATCTTAGCAGGAGGGCTATTTCTTTGCAGCCAGCTAATCCAATCTACAGTACCTACATTCAATCAACATTCACTGTTCTGTCCATCACCAACTGTCTCAGAGCCAGGGAAACAAAGACCAGGCCTCATCTTTCAGAAGCCTGGTGTTTAGTAAACAGAACGTGGGTGATAAGTGTGGCTGGGCCCAGGTAATGCTAATGCTAATGTGGATTCTTATTTGCTTCCCAGTGGGCTGATCTCAGCCCTCCCTTCTTTGGGATTTGGGGTCTTTTGCATTGACTGAACAGGTGCACCTCACTGTCAGCTGGGGGCTAGGGTTGAAGACAGCCTTGCAGTGAGTTCCAGGTACAATCCCTTCAGGCCTGGCTCTACTATTTCTTCTTGGCTGGAAGGTTGTGCCACAGCATGAACTGCAAAGCCAATGTATTCCTTGCAACCTCAGGACAATGGCCAAACGGTCTGTGACCAGGCTTTATGGCCAGTCCTTAAGTCTGTGCTCAGGGCATTAAAGCAATGACAGGCCTAAAAGAAGTGGTAGAGGAGTTAGGGAATGTGCGCCTGAGACTCCTGGCAGTGATACAGATGCTGCACCCAACAAAGACTCTCTACCCCAGGCTTCCAGTTTTCCCCGGCTTTCAAGTGGCTCTGGCACCTACTCCCAGGCAGTCATGTCCTGATGAAGTTCACAAGGTCCTGAGCCACACTGGCCAGGCAAGAGCCCCAGCTGCCACCTCATGAGTCGGTGGCTTTGCAATGCTCTCTATGCATAGTTTCTACACTAGTGAAGAAAGAGGATAACAGAGCCTTCTTTAGGGGACGTTTAAATCAGCCACTACTTGCATTTTTACAGGCCTGGGATGGAACCCAAGGTCTGGCACATGCTAAGCAAGTACTCTGCCACTGAGCTACACTCCCAGCTGTATTATACTAAGTTCAGAAGGAAGTGCTACTTGTCTGCATCAAGCTATTTATTTGCGGGGGGCGCGTACTGGGGATGTAACTGCTTATGAGACAAGCGGCAGAAACACTGGGCCAAACCCCCAGCCCACATTAAGCTATTTCTATAAACCAACATTTAAAAAACTGTCTTTCCGGCATCCCAGTGAAGGAGCATTCCTAAGAAAGATCTTACCCTTAAAGATGTCAAGCGCCGTCCAAAGGTAGACGACTGCTTTTGGTAAGAATTGTGAGGTCTCTCAGGGTCTCCCTAACCTCCCTGCCTGATGGGCTAAGATGTTAAGAAGGGGGGGGTTGGGTCTTTGGTATATACCTGTAATCCCAGCGCTCAGGAGGTAAAGCAGGAAGATCTCAAGTGGGTTACACAGTGAGACCCTGTCTCAAAATGAAGTAAAAACCCCCCACAATGAATGTAATCATTATGCACTGCAACCATACTAATAAAAATTTAAAAACAACAACAACAAAGAAGGGCTGAGGAAGTAACTTAGAGCAAGGTTCTGAGTTCAATCCCCAGTACAGATCAGAGGTATAGATACAGATCAAGAGACCCCCCACTGGCCTCTGCCCAGCTCCTAGGACTGTTAGCTGTCAGGCTGCTGCAGTGCTGGGAACCACAGTGCTAACAGTGCACCTTCAGCTTGGGCAGCACAGCAGTCATCTCTCCAAAGCCCTGTGGGACATAGGGTCTTCTCAGATGAAGAAACCAAGGCCAGAGAAGCTGCAGGAGTTTCCCAGAGTGTTTCTGGGGACCTCACCTGCCAAGACATGCATTTTTTAAATTGAGATGATTTTAAAAGTAGCCACTTTGCCTGATTTTCCAGAGCAGAGCCTGAGATTTTGTCCTTTCCTTCCCCAGAGTGACTTCTCTACCAGCCTACCTTCTGCAGTCCCATTCATTCAAGTTACTGCTCAGTCACCTATATATCCGTGTATTTCCATACTTCCAGACATCGGCTCTGGGCAGAGGCCTCTTTTGCCTCCCTGGTCAAGGAGCAGTGCATGTCAAGGAGTCAAGACCAAGGTGAGGCACAGCATCAGTGCCAACATTTTCCACTAGAGTGTCGTGCAGGGACCAGTCTGAAATAAGTATGTCAGAGCTATGTATAACACAACACACTGTGCACACAGTGGTGTGAATGCCTGTAATTCCTACTACTCACAAGACTGAGGAAGGAGGATAAAGCACTGGACGAACATAATACTTTTCCTTCAGCAGAAAAGACCAGTCAGTAATTAGGATACTTGTTTGTCAAAGAGAGAAGCACTAATTTTTTAGGATGTTGAGCAAGCCTACAAATGATTTGCTCATGACAGGTAGACTGAAAACTGAAATAAAATCTGAGAATTCAAGAATCAAAAGGAACCCAGCTCACTGCCAGGGATTTGGCTCAGTGGTTCCACCGCCTGCCTTACAAGCACAAGGGCCCGAGTTTGATCCCCAGTACCACAAAAACAAACAAACAAATAAATGATTTTGGCCAGGGATTTGGCTCAATGGTTCCACCGCCTGCCTTGCAAGTGCAAGGGCCAGAGTTCGATTCCCGGTACCAAAAAAAAAAAAAAAGGAACCCAGCTCAATCAAATTACAGTCATCTACACCTAAACTGCCTGTCACATATTCTATATGGGGCTGGGGAGGGGCCAGATAGGGCTCTTAGGGACCCAGTTACCTGACATTCTCTGCCCCATTCTACTACTACCCCCACCCCATCTTCCTCCTGAGCATCTCCCAGCCAGCTATCCTCAGCTTGTATTTGCTAGTACACTGCACCCTCTACTGGTTACAGAAAGTCTTTCTTCCTCAAAGAAAGGAATGGGCCTGTTGAGAGCTGGTGAGCAATTCATCCACAGAATCCCTTTCTGGAAAATTGCAATGCACACTCACCCTTCAATTGCTCTAAGGCTTCATTTCAGTAACATTGTTCTATTTTCCTCAACAAGATTCAAGGCATCTGTATCTACTGAGAGCGCTGTGCTCACCACTCTGCCTTCCACTGTGTTCCACAGTAGCAGTGTCCACAGTCACACCGGGTGCCTGAGTACCTGAAATACAGCTAGCCCAACTGAGAAGTAATGGAAGTAAAATACCCACCAGTTTCCAAAGACATAGCACACAAAAAAACTGTAATTTCTTATACCGATTACATGTTGAAATCTTTTGAAGAGCAGGGAATGGGGCACAAACCCGAAGTTAGAGCACTCTGGGAGGATCCTGAGTTCCAGTCCAACCTACACAACTTAGGAAGATCCTGCCTTGAAATAAAGGTCCTGTGTTCAATCCCCAGTATCAAAGAGATAGACATAGACAGATAGATACACAGAGATAGACAGATGAGATTTTTATTATGTCAAGTTAAAACTTATTGCTATAATTAATTTCACTTGCCTGGTTTTTTTTTGCGGGGGGAGGAAATCGAACTCATGACTTTGCACTTGCAAGTCAGGCACAGTGCCACTGAGCTAAATCCACAGCCCTGCCTCTACATTTTTTTAATGTGACAAGAAAATTTAAAATTACTTGTTTCTACTGGACAACTATGTTCCACAGTATCCCAACAGTTTTCATTTAATGAGCAAATATAATTTGCTAAGCACCTTGTTAGATGCCTTATACACTAGTATTTATTTAATCTTAACAACTCTAAACATAGACATGACCCATTTAATCATTTAATAGCAAGACTAGGGAGCTGATGCTCAGGAAAGTTGTGGAGCTTACCTGGGAGTGGTGGCGCATGCCCATAATCACGACACTCTAGGTAACTGAGTCAGGAGGATCATAAGTTCAAGCCCAGTCTAAGGAACTTAGACCCTGTCTCAAAAAGGGGAGGAAGTTACAAATGTAGCTCAGTCCTAAGGACCTGGGGTCAATTCCCACTAATGCAAAAAAAAGGCACAGGAGATGGTATGTGTGGTGGTGGAGGGGAAATGACCAATATCAGAATGCAAAAGAAATTATTATTGCCATAGCTCCTACAGACATTAAAAGCAGGGACTACTGCAGGTAACTTTATGCCTACAAACCTGACAACCAGGGCCACATGATTCAGTTCCTATTATGTTAAAAATGTTCTATTATATAATAATACTGAAAATACTATATTAAAATATGATTTAACTGAATCCTGTAGGAAGAAATAAAAAACCTGAATAGAGCCAAGCATGGTGGCACATGCCTGAAACCCACCATTCAGGAGGATGAGGCAGGAAGATAGGTCATAAATTGAATGTCAGACTCAGGTACAGTTTAAGGCCTGCCTGGACTACATAGTGAGACCCTGTCTCAAGTTAACAAGAAATAAAATTTTGAATAGCCCTATATTTAAGATATTAATCATAAAAAAGCTTCCTACAAAGATAACTTCAGGCTCAGAGGGTTTCACACATCAATTTTATAAATAACAAAGAGGATAGTTAGAACTGGATTAGTAAAAAAATGAGCCTTTAATATCAATAGGAATATTGGTCATGAGTCCAAGAGGCTACACATAGGAAATCCACTCTGATGAGTTCATTTCTTCTTCCCTTTTGAAGGCTTAGCAAATAACACCGGGTCGATCTGCTCCCTTGTCAACCCTCTGACAGAGAAGAGCCTGGCTGCGCGCTCCTGTAGTGTACCCCCACACTTCAGGCCCAGGGTCATCAGTGTACACTTCAGCTTCTCCAAGCCCAGCAGCTCCAGCTCAGCCACAGAGCTGAACACTAGCAAATCCAGACCGTCTTCAATAAGAACCTGAGGGGAAAAAGGAAAAAGTGACTTAAAATAGGATCCTTCTTCCAAATTAAGACTTTGTTCAACTGTTGATTACAGCCTATTTTTCAAGAAATTGTCATTTAATTTGACATTACCTTTCTAGCCACTGAACTGAAACTTCAGGGCAGAAACAGAAGTGTAAGATTCCAGACTGGATTTTTTTTTCAGTGCAGGGGATCAAACCCAACCCGTCAAGCATGCCAGGCACACACTCTACCACTGAGCTACATCTCCAGCTGGGATAGGCTCATTTGCTTCCTTCCTTCCTTCCTTCCTTCCTTCCTTCCTTCCTTCCTTCCTTCCTTTCTTTCTTTCTTTCTTTCTTTAGGGGGTACCAGGGATCAAACTTGGGACCTTGAGCTACATCTCCAGCTGGGATAGGCTCTTTTGTTATTTATTTATTTATTTATTTATTTATTTATTTATTTATTTATTTATTTATTTATTCAGGGGGTACCAGGGATCAAACTTGGGACCTTGAGCTACATCTCCAGCTGGGATAGGCTCTTTTGTTTATTTATTTATTTAGGGGGTACCAGGGATCAAACTTGGGACCTTGTACTTGTGATGCAGGCAGTGGAACCACTGAGCTAAATCCCCGGCCCTGGGATAGGTTCTTAATACTACTTTTTTCTTTTCTGATTTTTCCAGTAAAAAAAAAAAAATCTAAACAGTAAAATATACTCCACCTACCCCTATACTACTATATCACAGAAAAGAACAGGCACAAAAAAGTTTAATTTTAGCAGGGTTTGGTGGGACATGCCTGCAATTCCAGTACTCAAGAGGCTAAGGCAGGAGAACCACAAGTTCAAGGCCAGCCTGGAATACATATAGTGAAACCCTGTCTCAAAAAGTCAAAATGTAAAAACTAAATAAAAATTTTAATCTTAAAGAATTACTCTTGCCTCTTACTCTCTTGATTTTGCAATCTTAATGTTCTCTATTATAACTGAACAAAATCAATCATCAGTTACCACTTATATAACTCAACAAATCCAATGCATATAATAGATGTGCAACTGCTCTATCCAGTTACTACCTTTACAGACTGTAACACAAAATTAAATACTTAAATATTTCTAATATCCTACAAAGAACTAAATGATATTTTTTTTTATTTGTTTGTTTGGGTTTTTTTGGTACGGGGATTGAACTCAGGACCTTGTGCTTGAGAGGCAGTTAGTAGAACCACTGAGCCAAATCCCCAGCCCACTAAATGGCATTTTAAAATACATTTTTTGAAGCCTTTCAGGAAAATGGTGGAGCAGTAAAGGAGGAGGGGGGCTCAGACTTGCTGAGACTCAGAATCTGACACTGGAATATAAAAACTTGAGGAAGAAAAGGAAGGAGGTGGATTCCCAGGACCCAGGAAGGATCTGAAGGGAGAAATGGAGCCCACAGGGAATGTGGAGAGACAGACCTCAATGCAGGAAAAAGGAGGTAACAAACTGCACTTTCTCCTTAACTCCCAGCTCACAGCATGACAGATGAGATGTAAACCTATAGACACTGTGAAGGCAGGGGATGGAGCTCAGAAGCCTCCATGGTGGATGAATCCAAAGGCCTTCAGGGAGAAACACATCAGGTGAAAGGAACAGTGGATGCTGTAAACTACAACAGCTCGTGACTGAGTCTAGTCCAAGCATCCCCTGAAGAGGGAGCTTGGCTACGTGCCATTTTAGAGAGGGGAAAATTGAACCTGGGACTTAGAGCAGCTGTGGGATGGCCCCCTCTCAGCGACTGGGTGAGGCACAACCATGGGAGACATCCAAGGTCAGGCTGGAAAGTGGCACCCAGAGTGTTGCAGGATGCTAACAATTCAGGCCCTGACCCCACAATCAGAAAGGCCAAGATCAGTCTGAACTTCTGTGGAGCTGAAAGTACCAGAATTGGTACACAACCCTAATCCTACTTCAGGCTTGCTGGTATTACCCAGCATGAATCGGACTCTGTTTGACACCTTTGTCTACCAGAGAAAGAAAAGACAAGCCCTGAACTGGACACTACCACAACACAAAACTGTAGACCCCAGAGATAAGCACAGACTTGAGAAATCTTTTTCTCTCTCTGCTCTTCACTGTTGTTAGTTTTTTTGTTTGTTTGTTTGTGTTTTTTGGAGACAGGATCTCACTATGTAGTTGAGACTGATCTGGAACTCACTATGTAGTCCAGGCTGGTCTCAAACTCACAGCAATCCTCCTGCCTCAGCCTCCCGAGTGCTGGGATTACAGGTATACGCCACCACGCCCGGCCTCTTCATTGTTGTTTTTCACAAGTGTGAACATTTTTTTGTTGTTGTTGTTTTCTTTAGCCTTTGTGCTCTGTGTGTGTGTGTGTGTGTGTGTGTGTGTGTGTGTGGTGTGTGTGTCTTTTCCTTTTCTCTTTCTTTCCCTCCTGCCTTCTTCACCCGGCTCCTAAAGCTTGGGTAATCTTTTGTTCTTCAACCTTGCTTCTAATCTCTTTCTCTTCTTTTATTTCTCTATTTTATTCCTCTTACCCTTTTAAATTTTCTCCCAAAGGTAAAATCACTCCATTATGGGACTATTTACCACAAATAGTTTTCTGATTTGTTTTAAATTTTATTATAATAGCTATAAATTGTATACACATGGTTTAAGGTGGCAAATTAAGAGTTATCACAGTTTGCTATTTTATAGACTGTACTCAATGTTACTGCTATTATTGATTATACTACTTTAGTCAAGGTGACATGTGCTGTGACCAGTTGTTGCTCTTTGTTATCAATACTGAAATTGTCTGGGTGTCATAATACCACAGGTCAGCACTAAAAAACTGGGAGCTAGGCCAAATAGGCGGCAACTTCTCAACCCTAATAAATTTAAGAGGAAGGATAGTGGGACAGACTCAAAAACCAAAACCAAGCTACACCTAGACATCTCTGAAAAGCATTCATTTACTAAAGAGGTCTCAGTACTATTAACAAAGCTACCTATCATAAGCAAGTTACACGCACCAACACAGAAAACAAATTTAAAAAAATAGAAAATGAGAAGACATGGAAACAAGATGCAGTCCCACACCTCCAGTTCACCCAAGGCAAATCCAGGGGGATTAAGGTGGAAGAAATTGAAAGTCACCCTGTTGAACTTTCTGAAATGGTACACCAGTGGTAGTAACAAATCAGATAAATGAAGCTCTAGAAGAAAAAGAACCCAGAAATAACTTCTCAAGAGAAATAAAGGAGATAATGACCATAATGAAGGACATGACTCATGAATCTAGAATAGACAGATTTAAAAAAAAAATAGAGGAGCTTAGGAAAGTGAAGGAAACCAGAATACTCAACATATGAAAAAAGTGAATTCTATAAAACTGATTCAACAGATACCCAGAAGAATTAAAAATTCCATTGAAAGTAGATGCAGGAGAATCAACCAAGGTCAGGACAGACTATCAGATCTTGAAGACAGGTTTCTGGCTAGTGAATATCAAATGAAAGACATTAAAAAAAGCAAGGGTCTGCAAAAAATCAATTCAACAACTGCTAGATGATGCTAAGAATAACATAAGGGAATAATAGGAATCAATGAAAAATCAGAACAGCGCAAAGGACATAAAAAACCAGTCCACATAAGTAATGGCAGAAAAATTGCAAAGCACAGAAAAATAATTTGACATACAGATAAGTGACGCATATAGAATTCCAATTAGCCATGATCAGAAAACAACAACAAGGCATACAAGATTCCAGAAATTCAACATAAGAATAGAGTATCAAAAGCTGTTAGGGCCAGAGATTTAGTTCAGTGGTTCCAGCACCTGCCTCGCAAGCACAAGGACCTGAGTTCGATTCCCAGTACAAAAAAAAAAAAAAAAAAAAAAAAAAAAAAGGTGTTAAGAGAAAAGAAACAAATCACATATAAAGGAAAGCTCATCAGAATCACAACAGATGTCTCAACACAAACCCTCAAGTCAGGGAAAGCTTGGACTGAAATATTTCAAGTCCTAAAAGAAAACAACTTCCAAACCTGATTGATAATACCCTGAAAAGTTATCTTTCAAAATTGATAGAGAAGCCGGGTTATGGTGGCACATGCCTGTAATCCCAGCACTCGGGAGGCTGAGGCAGGTGGATCACTGTGAGTTCGAGACCAGCCTGGGCTGCATAGTGAGTTCCACGTCAGTCTCAACTATGTAGTGAGACCCTGTCTCAAAAAAAAACAAAAACAAAAACAAAAAAAGATAAAGAAATAAGGTACTTCCATGACACAGAATACCTGAAGAAATTTATGACCACCAAGCCAGCACTCTTAAAAGATGTGAAGGATATTCTAGAAAAAAAGACAATGAAGACTATAATTCCATTAATCCCAATAGAATGAATCCACCAGCAAAGATAAACAATTAAACAAAGGGGAAAGAAAGGGAACAAACAAGAGGAAAATAATATGACAAAGATAAACTAATACATATCAGTTATAACCATCATGGTAAATGGTCTCAATTTATCAATCAAAAGAAACAGACTGGCAGAGTGGATCAAGAAGCAAGATCCAACAATATGCTGCATACAAGAAACATATTTAACTCAAAAAGAAGTAAAAAGACTGAAAGTCAAAAGATGGAAAACAATACTCCCTAAGACAGGAACCCAGTAAAAAGCAAGGATAGTTTTTCTATTTGCAGACAAAGTGGATTTCAAGCCAAGTCTGATTTAGAGTGGCAAAGAAGCTCACTACGTACTTGTTAAGGGAACAATCCAAGAGGAAAATTATAAGAATCATAAATATAAATGCATCAAATACCAGTGCACTCAAATATGCAAAACAAACACCAAGGATGTAGCTCTGTGGTGCTGCACCTTCCTGGCAAGCAGAAGGTCCTGAGTTTGATCCTTGGTACCAGAAATATAAGTAAGTAAGTAAATAAATAAATAAATAAATAAATAAATAAATAAATAAATAAATAAATAAAACATTAATGGACATGAAAAATCAAATACAACTGTATTTGTA